ATCAATACAAAACCCAGGGAAACAGCCGAAGATTGAATTGAACAAAGATTGAATTGGACAAGTTGTTTGGCATTCAATTTATGAGTGATTAAAGCGTGAATTATTTCAATTTTGATCTTTATTTTTATGAATTACTCAAATGGAAGTTAAATTAAAAAAAAAGTCAGCGAGCAAGAAGTATCCCTAGTAACTATCCCAATTCTTACAATTTAAACCTAAGTTTGAATTACCGCTTACACCCAGAGTGCTCGTTGCTTCTACATAATTTTCTATATAAAACTACATAATTTTAAGCCCGATAGTAGAAAATAAAATCGCCGTGAGGTTGCCGCTTAAGTTAGAAAATCTGCAAACCAACTCAAACCACCAGAATTCAAATTTAATCAAGAATCAAAGTCATCGATGATTTAAATGATTTCGAAACAAATCGATCTTGTACATCACATGTAGCAATCTTGTTTTCAACAATTGTCTACTATCAGTGATATGGTCATCGAAGTTTACGAAATTCGAACGAGAACATTCTATTGTGGATTTACGATTCGAAATAAATAATTGGAACGATTTCGATTGGAATAGAAAACATGCATTTTCTCAACTTCTAGTTTGTGTTTTCGGACATCGCCTCTTCGAGGGGGTTAAAGTTGAAAATCGAATTCCAACATAAATTTGCACAAAGACAGGTTCTCGCGAAATACAACGAATTCAGTTTGCCTAATTGCTTTCGGGTTAAATATTTCATATTTGAAAAATTTCTGTCGAACGGCAATAGCGCGTGAGAAGATCGAAGACGTTGGTTTCCCGCGCTTTATGATCTATTCAATCTGAGAACATTGGTTGACCTACATGCTGTGAATAAAGGTGCCATTCGGTCATATGTAGTTCTGTGGAGCCGGAGGAAGCAATTTGGCCGTCTTGTACACTAGATGGAATGCGGGGTGCTCGGTTTGAACTTTGCAAGCGAGATGTGTGCCAGGTGCCGGAGGAGCCCCCGAGAAAACATAATTATGTATGTATGCCCCCTTGCGAATTGTAATATCATCAATGTTTACATAAATGTTCGAAAAAATTCAATCATAACGCGATGCGGTGTAACCTAATTGATTCGCGAGAGTTTCAAATTCTCATGTGACTGAGTTGGCGGGCAAAAAAAATTGAGTGCCAATCATTAGCGAGCGAATCGAATTCGGAAGAAAATAAGGAATGTGCTGAAAAAATAAACAATTGTCACATGAGAAGCACAATTTGATTAGGATTCGGTGCGCGTTATCAGTTCGCATAGTTTTCCGCACGCGCGCGCGAAACTGATAGCACAAAGTTGGTTTCTTTTTTTTTGTGCCATCGCCAAATTCTGAGCCCGAAGATTCTAGTGTATTGTCGAAACATTCAGGAGAACACGAGAAAAAAAACAAACAATCACAAACAATTTTGCTGGGGCGGATTGAAAAAAAAATGTGCAGGCATATCTTCTCCCCCACTTCGCGCCCCACCCTTTGTACCCACGGAAGGCTTCTGTTTGACTTATTGATAATCACCGACGAGCCGCTAACAACAAAAGCGCGGGGGCGACACACACACAGACCCACTGCATTCCATCAATAACACCTGTCTGAAAAAAAAACATATTGAGGTCAAACAGGATAGGTCAATAACGATAATTTGTCAAATGATGTCAACGGTGTGAAAGAAGAAAATATTTGGATGCTAGGGATTTCAGGACGAACACAGAAGTCGTACATTCGATCATTCGAGGGTTTTATTCGAAATGCTCATTTGACTGCTCCTACTTCTTTAAAGGAATAGCGATGGATCATGCCGTGTATTTTTTTAATGGACCTGCCTTATAAGGATGAACAAAAAATGATTTTCGTAATTGCTCTATAAAAGGTATAAATATGGACCACAAAAAAATGACGAATTGCGATCAATTGAAATAATAGACATAATATGATGGGGTGGGGGTCTTCGAGGGCTGATTGCCATACAGTGGAAATGAACCACATGAGCCGATTGTTTTGTAAATAGGCTCATGAATAATGAGGTATTCAAGAGACCTCACAATAAATTTGAAAAATTCAGAAATCTATCAAGAAAAATGCGAGAAAAATTGGCAAATTCCATCTACGTGGAAATTCTCATAATATCGAAATCGAAAAAACAACGCGGAAAAATGGGTGGTCAGAAATAGAATCCCCCGCATTCCAGCGACAAGTGCCAAACAATGATGATGATGATATCTCGAAACCATGAGGAAGAAGAAGAACATGAGGAAGATTAGTCATCATATTCCTATAAATTCCAAAAATAATCTAAAAAATTGGATTTTGAAATGAAAAATGAAATCGAGGAAAAAATATGAAAAGAAACATTTGAAGGTGATTTCCTAATTAGGCAATTCTAGGTTTTTGACATGTCGACGATCAGAAATCAACAATCATTAGGCGTAACTCGATGGAAAAAAAATGCAATTGTTGTTGTAGTTGTGGAAAAAAATTGGAGAAGACGATGAAGAAGAAGGAAAAGGAAAATACCGCCAAAATGGGTAATTGAATTAGTAAATACATATATGGAATTGTGAAGAACGGATAGACGGAATGACGGACTCGTCACTCTCAGAGGAAATCTCCACCCACCCATGGATAATTGTTACACTGGGCAAACGACGACGAGTTGGTTATAAACATGAATGGTCACTACGTTGATGAGATTTATTTGGTTAGGTAATACATACATGCATAAAAATGCCACAAACGATTTGATGTGTTCCTTCAAGCTTGGTCCAGATCCAATGAATGGAACAAGTTGTCATCGGATATGACAGCAGCGATCATCATACTTGTCAACATTGGCATTTTTTTAGGAGAAAATGGATGTGATATATGGAAACCGGATACATTCTCTCTCTCTATTTTTTGGAGTTTTTTTTTGACATTTAAACGAAACCAATTATTTCTTCGGGAAATTTTTTTGCTGATTTCTATTTTGGCGAGATTTTTTCCAGAGTTCGAACCGCGTACACTTGAAAAATCCAATCAGTTTGAAGGAGGGGGGCGTATTTTTTGAAAACGCCTTTTTTATGATGATGATGATGCGCGCAAAAAAAAATGTTGGAAGGAAAAATGTTTTTGGATTAACTCGCACAGCTCTCGGCGCTTTTTCAAGTATTTTACGAGGCGGCCGACTTCAAACTTTTATAAGTCTATGAGCGATGAGATAGAAATGATGCAGAAACGCATTCGAAGAAAAACGCTTTATCTAGAGGATTTTTGAGAATGTTGTGCCGGCGGTTTGAAAACACATGGATCAATAAATATATTTCGAAAAGTTTGTGCACAATATAAGCTTGCTGTGAGACAAACATCATCCCTAAATTTTAATGCTTTCGCCTGCGGACAATTTGAACGAATTCGAAAAGCATAGAAAGGGAGAAAGGGTGAACATGAAAATAGCCAACTTCTCTGATAATCACTTACGGACGTCATTGAGGTGCCACGATAGTAACATTTTTTTGATAATAAAATTCGGTTTGAATGGGTGTCGAACGTTTGGGAATCGAAAACGAAGAAGCTTTTAGATTTGGGTGGTCGGGTGGAACGAAAGATTACGATCAAAACAGAAATTGGCAAAATTCGATAAAGCTTTGAGATTGAAAATTTCCTTTTTTATGCATCATCACACCATCTTTTCTTTTTGCAACGGGTCAGTGAGAAGGCGAAAAAAAAATAACCAAAGCGAAAATTATAAGAAGAAGCTTGATAACATGCAAAATAATGGAAACGCAGCGAGTTGAACTGGTTTCTCAATAGAGTTATCAAGTGGGCAATTCGAATAAGGGGCTGGGCGAAGGGCAATCGGTGGGTTGTGTTCATGTTTTTTGCCAACATGTACATACAATGACACAAAAATTGGCAGTTGCGAATACTATTCTTGGCGCTCGATTTCCAACACAACACATCAAATTAATTGTGCGGAAACAATTTTCGCCGCGTTTCAAATTGTTTGGGTTTTTATTTTCAAAATAATTCTTTCAGATGCACGGGGTTCTGAAACTCAAAACAGTTTCTTTTGTTTCAAACGATTGCATATCTCAAGAATATGTGACATTTTTAAATAAATTTAGAATAAATAATTGTCGGGTAACGAATTGTTCCAGTGAAGTAAGAAATCATTGAATATTCATTTTTAATTCATAAATTGACTATTCGTTAAAATTTTCTTTCAAAATGATTCACAGAATAAAACTACAAGATATCATCGTACACTTTGTTTAGTAAACACGAGTCTGAAAATGAAATTTTCTGAAACAAAATTCACTAATATTCTCGAAATATTGTATTCCCAATTTTTGCGATTCTTTCCTATTTTTTATCATAAATTTGACCTTCTATTGTGTCTTTATGCGCATCTGAATATCTCCAATCCACCAAAATCCGCATTCGATTCATTTGAATGACTATGTACATACCGTCGATTTTATCGCGGAAAAAATCAAATCGACACATCGAATCGCACGTTTCACATTCTCTTAACTGATCAAATGTTTTTTAAAACAAAATCTTTATTATAAGGTTTGTTGAATTATCAAAAATAAGGTGCCATAAAATATATTGAAAGAAAAACAATAAATTGGTGCCTGAATAATAATTAAAAACAACAAAAAATATAAATCAGCGGGTAAAAATTCACATGATTTTTTTTTGCAGGACAATACAAGGTTTGGCAACCCGAATTAATTGGATTCACATGGTTGCTTGGGAATATTGAGATAGATAAAGAAAGCGGATTATATATATATAATATAATACAAAAAACTTCCTGGGAATAAAAATTTGAACCTCGTAATTTGGTTCCATCACGAGAATTAAACTTATGTGAAAATAGAGAAAACATTAAAAAAAACGCATGCGAAAATTGTCTCTTTTCGCACAACCAATTTAAACAGAATTTGATCAATATAATTCAAACTTCCGACAGCGATCTGATTCAGAAATTTTCAATTTTCAGCTATTTTTGTTTTCCGGAGCCTCTTTGACAATAGCAAACTCCAGAAGGTTCTTCTCGGCAAAAAAGCTGACTGTAGCCGATGCGGTGTTGGCTTCGTTTTTGATTGTGAAACAGTCAACTTTGTCAAATCCGTGCTGAGGAATTTCTGGTTGATAGCTGGAACAAAACAATGCGATTTCCATATAATATTCAGCATTCTCACTCTGCGTAGGTTTTACACGAATGCTCAGCTTGGATGTCCTTCAACACAGCTCGTTGCTCGAAGTCAGTTGCACTCAATATTAAGATGCTTTTGAAATTTGGCGTAACGTTGCCTCTCATCCAATTCTAAAAATTCAAACAGTTTAAAACTCAATGAGAATCCATGCCTTAATAAATTCATGCATCGCTTTATTTTCTATTATAGCTCTCCTGAATACAATTTTCTTCGTATTCAACGTGGCGAACACAGTGTTCGGAATGTGGCACGTCGACAATATTATAACTTCCCTGGCTAGCCTAATCTGAATTCATCATCTTTAGATTCATTTGATTGCGACCTTCACATACGTGTTCGCAATCGGCAAATTCTGGTTTGAGGACCAACTTCTCGGTGCATTTTATCGAGAGCCGATTCATTTTTGGATTAAACATTTCCAAAACTTTTGGGAAATGATTCTTATTCACCGAGACCACATTGAGTTTGCCAGTAGTTATCTCCCTCTTAAAATCCGGCCAAATCATGTTGCGAAGGGCAATCTCAAATATCATAATACGTCGACCAACTTGCTTCTGAATCACTTGCCGATAATTTGCACTCTTCAATTTCGTATTGCGATCGACAAATCACTTTCTCTAAAAATTTGTAGCATTCTTGCAATGAGTTTGCATTTTCGATTATCACCAGATTATCGAAATTTTTTCCAGTTCTAAAATTTACATGATTGAAAAAAAAAAACAGAATACAAGTTTAAACGAACCGTAGCTCGACATTATCATTTTTTTGAGCGAACTTGTATTCATATTTCAAGTCTTTTCCAAGTCTTATCGAACAAACTACTATTGGCTGAAAGTGCCCGAAGATTAGAGCGCTTATATGAAGATTCGGAAGAGAATTACCTTCGCGTCATAGTAGAATTTCAGTTTCAATCTTTTGATAAATAAAGGGGCGAAGCTATGAAGTCTATAAAAGGGTTTTGAGGTAAGAGCCACTGAGAATCTGAAAGAAGGGCTGAATGGACAAAGAGGACGAAGAAGAAGCTCAAACCTCGTATCAACGTCTAATAATGAAAGAATATTCGATTGAAGAAAACATGGAAGATCGTAAAATTCCGGAAATTTGTTAGACATCTGAAAATTTTGATGTGCATTTCAGACAATTTGAAAGTATAAAAAAGACGTTTTCTCAAGAGAAAAAGGAAGCAATAATTTTCAGATATATTTTATTTTACTTGTCCGCAGATGAAAACCAAGGTATTTAATGAATTTCGAATGAATCGAAAATGGAGATGCTGGCAACTGAAAGCGTCGATCGCCGTGTTGTCTGCCAAGGCTGAACATGTTGACTGAATAAGAGATGGAGAGAGAGAGGGAGGGAGAGGAAGAGGGAGAGGTAGATAGAGAAGCAGACGTAGTCGAAGAAACAAAACAGTGGACACGCATTGAGAACAACAATGAATGAGAGGCGATGTTAAAGGTGCAAAACGATTGAAAAATAAAATAAAATCATCGTAAGACATTTTAAGAAGGAAAAATCGGAATCAATATAATTGATGCTCAGATTTGCACTTTTGTTGACCTTTTTTTGTTGTTGAGACTAGAGAAAACTTGAGACGATGTGTCAACAAAATGAATTGAAAAAGTCAAGACGGGAAATGAAGTGAAGAGAAGAGACACACGCAAATAGCATAAAGAAGGACGTTCGAGGTCGATTCGTTTAACGATGGAGCGCATTTTTATGATTTTCTTCTGAATTGCCGAAAAGAAAATGGATATTCAAATTACTAAAATTGCCCAAACAAATATAATTTGTCTTTGAATTGAGATCTAATCTATACGGGCTAAAATTTAATTCCAATAGCATTTCACGTACATACATAAATACTACAATCGAAAAAAATCTTGTTTAGTTTTTTTTTAGCTTCAATAAATTTGTTTCTTAAGTTAAACGTAGTACTAAGTCACACTATTTAATTCAAAATCTGAAAATTTAAATTACCGCCATTAATGAAAAAAACATATATTTCATTTTTCAAACAAAAATGAAATGAAATGAAAACTGATTTTCGGTGACGTGTGAATGTTTGCGTGTGTATGTTTGCGACCAAACAAGAATCGCGTTTTCTTTAAAATATTCTGTTCATTTTTAACCCTTATAATCACTTGAATGACCTCCAGTATATCTTTAAATACCGTCCATAAATAAAGTGACTGATTGAAAAACTTGATTTAGATAGCTGAATGCAGTGTTCTTTTTCGAATTAGAGATGCAATGTGACCTTGACTGTACGCGATGATAACTAAGCCGCAGATGTCTTATCACCGGTATTATAAAAATTGCAGTTTTATTGAAAGGAATTATTTGATAATTAATTCATGCTGAACTCGTCATGATAGACCTTGAATCCGTCTCCAGAATCGCGCCAAATTTGAAGAAAATGACCAGTTTGGACGCCAGCCTGAGTGCAGACATTATTCTTGAAAAATGAGCAAGTAATGCTGATACCTTTTCAGAAGTCAATTCAAAATCGCTTTCGATCAGAATCATTTTTGGGGTTCCTTCGTAATGAGTATTGCTTAACTGAAATAAGTTTAACATGAAGATCATTCTGAAATTGAATTTCCAAACATATAGAGATCGCAGAAATTCGAAAAGGACGAACTGCGGTTAGTTTTGGGTTTTAACACTGGGGTTTTGCGGGAGTTTCCAACGACTTTCGTGCTTTGTTCCAAAATTTATTTTTCTAGCAGTACGACACTCCATTTACATATCGCCCTCAATTTAACGTGTCGGGCTAAACCCTGGACGACTTTGGTTTCGACTAATTAAATGTAATCTCCCAAAATGTTCAGCGGGTTATCATAAACCAAAAAATGTTTCCCTGATCATCCCGATCGAATTCTTTCGATTTTTTTCAAAACTTACCGTCGCCGAATTTTTTCCAAGAATTTCATTGATCTTCGTCAAATGTTCAGTAATATCTGGAATCAGAATCTCTTGTATACCAACAATCTTCTCTAATTTAACTTTTGTTTCCGAATGTGCAACTCTTGTTGGTCTCGACAAGAACAGCATTGACATCGTAGAAATTCTCGACCTTCTTCACGTCGTTTCCTTCAACAGCAGCTGCGTATTCGGCAAAAATCGGAGCAAGAATATTCTTGGCTTCTAGATACATATGTATAAGGAATTCAATCGGTTTCCATTATTGCTTACCTTCGTTGGAGAGCGACATTTTTCGACAGACAACATTTGCAAATCGTCCTTTAAATAGTGAACGTTCGATTGTAGCACACCATGATTTTGCCTGAACCCTCTCAATACTCAACACTATTTTGATGATATCATTGGTTGTGTTTTTCATGACTTTTATAGTTTTCGTGCCAATATTTTATTGTTTCAATATAACACTATTCAGTTGATTGGTGATTCAATTAATCGTTTAAATCATTTCGTATTCATCATGATAGATGGTGTATCCATTGCCATCCTTGCGCCAGATTTGCAAGTATCTTCCCTTCAACACACCCGCCTGAAACAATTACAAACATTGGTGCTTTATTTTTTGGTCATTGTTAATAATATATGTAGTGTTTTTGGATTCTGCTATAAGAAATACCGAGAATGTAAAAGGCTCAGAAGCCGGTACAGCCCGAGCTTGTTGTTCAGAAGCTGAGCCGGGACGAACCGACAAGCCTGGTATTAAAAATACTGATTATTTGATAAATATGTTTGAACAAATTATGGTCTAAAATTAAACTCTTTTGAATTTTCATGGCCGCAGAGCGTAAAATTATTCCATTTTAGTTCACGATAGGGGCGGGGCGGGATTGCCAAAAAACACGGAATTCCGGAAACTCATTTGCTCCGACCAGGGGTTGATTATAAATTGAATAATTGAGTACTCAGAAAGTTTTGATTCGCCTCCTGTAAACCTTTTCAGTGTCGAACTCGAATTCGGTGTAGACATTGATGAAGTCCCCGACGCCTTCATATGTCGTATTCGAGATGCTCATAACAGTTTTTCCGCATTCGGTAGTCATTTGCTTCAAACTATCAGTAATCGCTGAAATCCAATCAAATTTTCAACCGCCGCCGCCCTAATTCGAACCTTTCTTCCCATACAGACAACTCTTATCCTTCTCAATCATCACGGCATTCGCATGGTAGAAGTCCTCCAAGAGCTCATACTTTCCACTGTTCATTGCATCGACATACTTGCTCACGAATGACTCAAGAATCTTCTGAGCTTCTGCAACATTTTATCGAAAGAGAACACTTTTAAACACAGTACTTACGGGCGGCTGTCAACGACATTTTTCAGTCTGCAATTTGAACAGATTTTTGAAAGTTAATTGTTTGTCATATCGGATGGGGAAAAAAGAAAAAAAAATGGAAGAGACAAAAGGATTGTTGAAAAATATGTGAACTGAACTGATAAGAGCGAAAGAGCAACTGTTGTCTGAGACCACGTGGTGAGAAGACAATCATCGGAATGAAACAATTGAAAATCAAAGGCCGAACCTATTCGAATCAATTAAGTGCAATCAACGGAAAGTGTTCAAAAGTGCAAAGGCTACACGATTCCGAAAAAAAATAAATGAACTCATACTCCTTAATTCGTCACTTTGTTAATTCGTGAATTTAGAAATGAGACAGAATGCGGTAATTCAAATTATAGAACAATCGCATCCGAAGTTCTTCCTTCCGTCAATTGTAGAAAAAAATGATTTAAGATTTTTGAAACTTCCACATGAAAGAATTGGGAGTCCACAAAAGCTATGATTTGCTCAGCGTTTAAATTTAGCCTTAAAGTGTTTTGCAAAACTTGCTTTTTGTATCATTTCAAGTTATACATTTATAACCAAATGAATATCGAACGGTTAAAGAAGTTTCTCGATTACCTGTTTGTAAAAAAAAACAAACCAATGTCGAATTCTAGATTCATTTATGTATATGAGGAAGTTGTTGTAGATTCCGTTTTTTTTATTTCCAGCTTCTATTGGGTAGCATTACAGCAATAATATGTACATTCATAATCATTTACTACTAACCATTTTCTAGTCATTCTGGAAAAAATGCATTATACATATCTGAGACAAATCAAATAACATGTCCCATAATTTTTTTCGAGACTCATTTATACCTCTGGATTGATATCCTACAAAAATAGAAAATAATATTTGAAACTTTAAGTTTCGTGACTTGTTCGAATTTGTGAACGTCATTGAACATAAGCAGAGAACGTCCGAATAGCTCAAAAACGAATCGAGTACCCATTTATGGGAATATCATGGTTTAGCTCATTTTATGTGAATATCTCATTACATTTAACTCGAAGTATTTAATTCAAGAGTTTCAAAAACTCAAAACTAGATGATGTTTAGACCTCAATTGCAATAAAATTTTTTTTTGAACTCGCAAATCTTGAATAATTTTCATGAATGGAATTACTAGAGTCTTTCGAGTTCGAACTTTATTATAATATTCACGTTAACCGCAATTTATTCTCTATTCACACAAAAAGGCAAATCTGTACAGAAAATTTGAGATCAAAAAACTAAAATTGGACATAATTGATGATGTTGCGAGATTTCTATAGAAAATAATTGAATGAAATTCGCACACACGAAAACGACTTTTGAATGTTTCATGTTGTCGAATACACAGAAGAACATTTGAAGAGTTGACTTATGCTAATTATCGATTCCCCGATGTGCTTACATTACCAATTTATTAGGATTTCACACACTCTTTATAACTTTTAATCGTTTTCAGATTGCTCTTTGGCCATTGTAATGCTTCTCAATCAAAAAAATCTGATCATTTTTTGAGAACTACAATGGTATACGCAATCAGCATTTTTATCGGAATCCACACTTCGCTTGCCATCGTCGGATGCTTCTTCAATTTGTTTCTCATCTACTTGGCATTGTTCCGAACACCGAGGGTTATTCGATCATACACGACTCTCATCATCAATTTCGCAATCACTGATTTCTTCGCATGCTTCTTCGACTTATTCGTAGAGCAGAGAATAATTCCTGCTGGAACAACATTGGGCTACATTTCAAGCGGAATATGCAAACATTTCGGACCAAAAACTTGTTATGTTGGGTGGGTCCCCAAGGTTTACGACTTTTCTAATTATGGAGGTAGTTCAGATATAGCCTCATGCTCCACTGCCTTTCCCATTCGCTATGGTCCCTTCTTCTTTCATTCTTCTATCGCTACTACATATTATTTAAACCTGCCCCAACACGATTGAAGCTTGCAGCGATAATCTTCACGATCTATCAGGTCTCCTTATTCCAATTCATCGCCATGCTATTCGGATACAGCGATCCGGTTGAAGTGAAGGAGGCGCTCCGCGCCAGATTCCCCCACCACGATCTGTCTGGTGTACTAAGCGGCACATTGCACATCATCTCATTTTCTGTGCTATTCCCGATTTTGCACATGACAGTGCCTATTGCTCCGGTCTATGTGTGCATTCTAATCCTGCGAAAACTCATCATCAAACGATTGACTTATAAAGGAATAAATGTGAGAAAGGACACCCGAAACTTGCACGCTCAACTGCTAATGGCTAGCTCTTTCAATTTTTCAATTTTCGAATTCTCTATTTTGTAGGCATTGACTTGCCAGGCCGCACTTCCCGGATTCTATTTTTTCGGTGTCGTCTCGTACGCAATCGGCCAACTCGGCATCTACAATCATCTGGCGCTCGAATATTTCACGTTCTCCTCATTCCTCTTTATTCCCTTATTATCACCAGTGGCTTCATTTGTTTTCATCACTCCATACCGAAAATTCGTCAAAATAATATTGTTCAAAGTCACAAGAATTCAACACGTCGAATTTTCGTCAGTTCCACATAATGGCACTTCGAATCTTGCTGTGGTTGGCTAGAACCAAAAAAATTGGCGCCAGGCCTCTTGCAAGGGCAATTCAAATTTGTTGACTATTTTTGATCATTTTAGCGCATAGTCGTAGTTTGGGCTTAGTTTGCGGGCCAAATAAATAGAAATTTTACATTCGCAAAAAAAAGACGAGCCCCGCGCCGATTTCCTATGAGTCAGATTATCCGTAGTTCGGTAGGATTAGCACTATTTAAATTCAAATTTGAAGTACCGCCTCGAAAAGGTGAGATGGTCCTCAACTACGCAAGGCGCTCGGTGTTTGCGAGTCAAAAAGAGCCATCTGTCGAAAATTCAAATAGTTTAGGATAAATTTGTTTTAAAAACCTTTTTTAAATGCGTTTTGAGTACGTTTACTGTAGTTTCGCATATGCGTGTATGTTTTTCGCTCCGCCCCCTTCCCTCTAGAAGTCGCCCTTTTCGACAATATGACACATCTAGTCGATCTACTCACGAATACCCTCTATTGTGTAGTATATTTAGAAAATTTTGTTATTCCACTACTATGTGATATATTAGTAAAAAAAAAAACATTAAAAAGGATCAAACTCAATATCAATTACTCCCGCTTTTAGGATTAACTTATTCAACACTTCAATCAAGAACTCTATTCATTCTTCTGCCTTCCCGAGTGTATAAGACCGCTTGATCAAAAGGCGATTCATTCTGCAGAAAATGTTTGACTTCACTCACATTTTTGTGGCGATTCACTCTTCGATTGCCATCGTCGGATGCTTCTTCAATTTGTTTCTCATCTACTTGGCTTTATTTCAAACACCGAGGGTTATTCGATCATACACGACTCTCATCATCAATTTTGCAATCACTGATTTCTCAGCCTGCTTCTTCGACCTATTCGTAGAGCAAAGGATTATTCCTGCTGGAAAAACATTGGGCTAAATTTCAAGCGGAATATGCAAGTATTTCGGACCAAGAGCTTGTTTTATCGGGTTTGTCAAAAAATGAATAAAATGATGTATAATGACAAGAGCAATGTCAGATATAGCCTTATGCTCCACTGCCTTTCCCATTCGCTATGGTCCCTTCTTCTCTCATTCTCCTACCGCTACTATATTTTATTCAAGCCAGCTCCATCTCGTCTATTCAATGCAATTATCATATTACTTATTTACCAGCTTTCGCTGTTCCAATTTATTGTTTTCCTTTGGGGATATGAGGACTCAGTCGGCGTCAAAGAATTACTTCAAGCCAAGTTCCCCAACTACGACTTGTCAGGGGTTCTGACTGGACACGAGACGATGTTTTGCTTCTCAGTTATGTTCACAATTCTCCATATGACAGTTCTAATAACACCGGTCTACATCTGCATTCTTATATTACGGAGACTTATTATAAAGCGTTTGTCGTTTAAAGGAATCAGTGTAACAAAAGATACAAGAAACTTGCACACACAATTGTTGATGGTGAGCCTTGACTTGAGCATCAACTGTAACCCATGAGAATTTAGGCATTGACATATCAGGCGGCGATTCCCGGATTCTACTTCTTCGGTGTGTTGTCATATGTTATTGGTCAACTCGGCATCTACAATCATCCGGTGCTCGAATATTTCACATTCTCCTCATTCCTCTTCATTCCCCTATTATCACCAGTTGCTTCATTCGTATTTGTCACTCCATATCGCAAATTCATTAAAATGATCTTCTGCAAAATCACTCGAATTGAGTACGCCGAATTATCGTCAACTCATCATTATGGCACTTCACAAGTTGCTGTTATTGGATAATAAACTACGTTTTTTTCCTTACCAATTTACCAATGAGACAATCCAAATTGAATAATCTCGATAAAGTTGGAAATAAAACTTTAAATTTGAAAATTTTCAAGTTGTCCGGCAAGAATAAAAATAAAGAATTTTTTCAAAATGTAGATTCTGAAAACAGAAAATCATGTTTGAAAATTTAGTTAACGTTCCTGATCATTTCAGAAATTTCCGACAATTAGTGTCAGTGAAACCGGTAAGACTGTTATCAATAAAATGTCTGGTAAATGGTCATATTAGAACTGATGGTATTGTCGGAGTTTAAAATAAAACCGCTCCCTAAGACCATCGCCTATTTTTTTGGAATTTAGCTAATTATCTGTATTGGCATGACGTAGACAACACTACCAAGAATTAATAACTCTCACAAGGGAAGTCATTTTACCTCCCGTCTTAGGATTTTTTGTAATTTTGCACACGTAAACTAGAAGGTTTTTTGAGTGTGTTCACAAAATTCCAGCCTCCACTGGGGGGGTTACAGACGAGTTATGGCCGTCTGAAAATTCAAGGTTTTTTTTCCATTGTCAGCAACCATTTGAGGAAGGGGTTACGTATACGCCTCTTAGGACCCCGATTTGGCATCCAGGTGAAGTGAAGTGTAATGTGTGCGGGACAGTGAATATTCAGGCTGGAATTTTGTGAACACACTCAAAAAACCTTCTAGTTTACGTGTGCAGAATTACAAAAAATCCTAGGAGGTAAAATGACTTCCCTTGTCAGTGACGCTGTATATGTTCTTTTAAAAGACGGGATAACCTCAAAAACATAAAAAAAAAACATAATTGAAACTAGATTAGAAATCGAAACAAAAGAACGAAATTTCTGCGTAAAAATGCAGGGGTACACACGCGACATGCTAATTTATGGAAGTTCCTATCTCACAAGGGAAGCGTTTTTACCTGGGGACACAAATAGTTCGCGAAATTCCCTATTTTGTGTGCTATGCCGTTTTCGACAGAGAAGACATAAAATTTTGAGTCAAAACTTTCAGTTTGATTTTTCCATTGTTTTTTTTACTCCATCTGCTATATGGAGCGAAGTGTGAAAAATTGAAGGAAACACCGTTTTTTGACGTCAATTTAAATTATTTTTTTTTGCATGGAAAATCTGAATTTGCGGCTTTTCGTTAAATCGAATTGAGCAATTCTAATTGTGGTGCTAGAAATTCATGTGAACTTGCTAACCGAATTGAATTAAAGCACATAAAGCGTACCTGAAACTTTTTTCGATTACTTCAGCTCGTACCATTTTCACGCATTTTCTGCTTTCTTGAACAATTCTTAAATTTCCTTTCTCATCATTATTTAAAAATTACATCGATTCCATTCAACCGAACTAAGAACCTCTCCATAACGCATGCATATATAACCTATAAGTGGCTTCTACTAATACTAAAATCATAATTTTGAAATGTTTGACTTCACGCACATTTTTATCGGAATCCACACTTCGCTTGCCATCGTCGGATGCTTCTTCAATTTGTTTCTCATCTACTTGGCATTGTTCCGAACACCGAGGGTTATTCGATCATACACGACTCTCATCATCAATTTCGCAATCACTGATTTCTTCGCATGCTTCTTCGACTTATTCGTAGAGCAGAGAATAATTCCTGCTGGAACAACATTGGGCTACATTTCAAGCGGAATATGCAAACATTTCGGACCAAGAGCTTGTTATATTGGGTGGGTCCCAAAGATTTACGACGTCATTAATTATGGAGGTAGTTCAGATATAGCCTCATGCTCCACTGCCTTTCCCATTCGCTATGGTCCCTTCTTCTCTCATTCTCCTACCGCTACTACATTTTATTCAAGCCAGCTCCATCTCGTCTATTCAACGCAATAATCATTTTTATCATATACCAGTTTTCCTTCTTCCAATTCGTTTCATTTCTCTGGGCATTCGATGATCCAGAAGAAATTCGCGAAATTCTCCACCAAAAATTTCCGCATTACGAGCTTTCTGGAGTAGTGACAGGCACCAAAAATATCATCAATTTTTCTGCATTATTCACAATTCTCCATATGACAGTACCAATAACACCGGTCTACATATGCATTCTTATATTACGAAGACTTATCAAAAAGCGTTTATCTGTGAAAGGAATCAGTGTGACAAAAGATACAAAAAACATGCACACACAATTGTTGATGGTATCATTCAAAATTCGATTCGATTACTTACTTCCAATTCAGGCGTTGACTTACCAGGCAGTGATTCCGGGCTTTTATTTCTTCAGTGTGATCTCGTACACAATCGGCCAACTCGGCATCTACAATCATCCGGCGCTCGAATATTTCACGTTCTCCTCAGTCCTCTTCATTCCTGTTTTTTCCCCATTAGCCTCGTTTGTCTTCGTGACTCCTTATAGGAAATTCCTAATACGATTGTTTTATAAAATCGCGCAAGTTGAGTATATCGAGACTTCCTTATCGTATATCCGCGGAACATCTCAGGTTGCAGCGATCGGCTAAATGAATTTACGCCTCCCATATTAATAGTTTTGTGTTTTTTTTCCTATTCAAACTGAAAACAAGTCGTTTTGCTTAATCCTATAACATGAGACCAATTACGTAACACGAATTTCATTTAATTTTGGTCAGAAATGAATGTGAATAATCAATTCCAATTACCACAACAATTTAACTGATCATATTGGTTGAACAACTTCAAATAGATCATTTTTTGACAAAAAATGAATACACGGCCTAATTAGGAAATGCCAGAAGTGAGAAGAAATTTGATTTGTAATATCGATCGGTCTTCCAACATTCCAAATAGTTGACACCATTGTTGAATTTTTTGGAATTTCATTAAATTCGGTGCTAATTTATCTGGCTGTCAATCATTCTCGGAAAATTATGAATACTTATTCAATATTAATTATCAATATGGCGGTGACTGATCTACTAACATTCGTTGTTTTGTTGGGTAATTATCAAGAGTTTCAAGTTTCGATTAATATGCATTGATGATTTCAGCTACAGCATCAATGGAGTCTGCCAATATTTCGGACCATTTACATGTTTTTTGGGGTCTGATTAACACAGAAAATAATCAATCAGATGTGTTGTTATGTTAAGGTATAGCTTTCTTCTTCATCTCTTTGCTCACATATTATGGTCCCTACTTTTATCATTCTGCTACCGGTACTATGTGCTTTTTTGGCCCACTTCTACAAGAATTCGAGTGCTATTGATCTTGTTGATGATTTATTGCCCTTCCAGTGCACAGTGGGTACGAAAATTGAACTTAAAGTATGCGGGTAGATTTACGGGCATGCACCTTTCTAAATGGTCTCGATGCTCATTTTTTTTTAATTAAAAAACTTATTCTTATTGATGAATTTGTTACATACTTTCATTTCGAACGTCTTTGAAGTTCGAATTAATCGAAATGAACGATATAAAGCGAAGCAATTAGGAGGTTCCGCGCGAGACCATAACGACATCCGTAAATCGAACCACGTACAGTAATTGCCGGACGCGCCGACTAAACAAAACAAAATAAATGATTTCAGATACTATTAGTATTTTCATACGATGATCCGGACCAAATAAAAATCATTCTCCATCAGGCGTTTCCAGAATATAATTTGACAAATGCGGTGAACTCTGGAACCAAGGATATTTTCAATTTCTACACGCTTGCCCCAATATTGCATATGACTCTTCCAATTGTTCCAGTGTATTGTTGCATTCTGTTTCTCAGACGAAGAATTATATCAAAACTGACATTTAAGAGTACATATTTGACAAAACACGCAAAAAGTATGCACACCCAGTTGCTCGTTGTTCTCACTTATCAAGCAATGATTCCTTGCTTCTACCTTATTAGTGTTATCTCATACTCAGTTGGCCAATTCGGCATTTTTAATCATCCCGCATTGGAATATCTCACATTTTCCGTTGCTCTCTTCATTCCTCTTTCTTCTCCGATAGCGTCGTTGTTATTTGTTGGTGCTTACAAACGATATATTTTGCGAAAATTAAGCATCTTATTCGGAATCGAGCATCCGAATCAATTTTGTCAAATGCAGACCGCCAGCATTACTAACAACAATATAAATGTATTGATTTGAATATGTGTTGCTGAATTCTATATTATATATTTAGTAAAGATAAAATAAAACAAATGGAGCATTTCAGCGGTTCTTGTAGATTTCAGAATCTTATTTTGACATGCTTCTTTTCAAGTGACCCTTCATTATTTCTTCTCGAATCAGGAAATATTGCTGACGCTATATCTTATTGAATAGACCTTATTAGGTCGTCAAAACCACTCTACTTTCAAAAAATCACAAATCTGGTATAGACGACTTTCAGTTCAAAACTAGAGAGCTCATTCGTGATTAGGAGCTATTCAAAATAAATATTTTGCTAAACGTAAAAGGATTAAATTTTTCGGATCATTTCATTCTCGTAAAAAATGATGCTAGTGACGCATATTTTCACCGCAATTCACTCGTTTTTCTCTATTATTGGAATCTCGCTGAACGCGTTTCTCATCTATCTGGCCGTCTGTCATTCACCATCAGTTATTCGGACATATTCAACCCTTCTCATCAATTTCGCCATCACTGATCTATTGGCGTGTACCGGCGACTTATTCGTTCAGCAACGCCTCATCCCATCCGGATTCCGTCTGTTATATTTCCAATGGAATCTGCCAATATTTCGGACCATTTACATGTTTTTTGGGGTCTGATTAACACAGAAAATAATCAATCAGATGTGTTGTTATGTTAAGGTATAGCTTTCTTCTTCATCTCTTCACTCACACCTTATGGTCCCTATTACTATCCTTCTGCTATCGATATTACGTTCTGTCGAAACCATCTCCAAAAAGATCGAAAATAATAATAATAATTCTTCTCGTCTATATCCCTTCATTTTTTCAATTGGTGAGTTTTTTTTCTATGGATATATTGCCGGTTTCAAACACCGGATTCATGGCGTAAACTCGAAATTTGCGGAATAATTACCGTCACTTTGAGTAATCGTGAACCATCGTATTTTCAAATTTCAACTTAAACATTGGAAATTCTGATATTTTTTTACCAAAGCTTCACAGAATTCCGTATTTCGTTTTCGTGCTCAGGGATGACACCGCGAATTTGCGGGAGGGAGGGGTGGGAGAGAGGCGAATTCGCCCGCGGTATTGGTTCTAATTCACTTCTACCACTAGACGAATTTTGAATTTTTAGCAGCAACCCATAGAAAGTTATGCCTAGGGATTCATGTAAACTTTCATAATACATAATATTTTTTGTGAATAAAAAAAGTTTTGGCTTTTAGTAACGATGCCGAATAATCTGGGAATTAAACTCATCGTTGGACCCTCGTTTTATACCGATTATATTAGTGTAGATTTACGAGTTTGTAAATTTATGCGTTAGTCAAACATTAAGTGCTTGTGCCTTCAGACACCATGAAACATAACCAATTAATAGTTTTGAATAGTTTAAAGACCAATTATTGGATATTTAGATAATCTACTCCAATTCGTATCATGGTCCAGAGGAGGTGATACCGATTCTCAAACGAATTCATCCGGATTATAATTTGACGAATCGAGCTGTTTATGGAAACACAAGCATTTTGAGCTTCTCCACATGCGTTGCAATAATGCATTTGATTGTTCCCATCATCCCTGTGTATTCTATTATACTGTTTCTGCGTCATCGAATTCTCACAAAATTGTCGTATAATGGTGTTCGAATGACGAAAACAGTTCAGAACCTTCATTCGCAATTACTAATGGCTTTGACCTACCAAGCAGCGATTCCCTCGTTTTACCTGATAGCAGTCATTTCTTATGTCGTAGCTCAGCTCGAGATAAAGCAAGCGACTCGTCACCGCTTGCTCGTATCTTATAATCATGAAAAAAATTCGATTTATAAATCTTCGATATGGTGTCACGAATAGAAGAGAAGAGAGCGGAGAGAAAACAGGAATAATCAATGTCGCTGTAAATGGAGAATACTCCAAAGCCGGATGATGGATGAAGCCGAATTGACCGCATGCGTACGAAAGCACAGCGAATACATAGAATCCCGGGAGCAATGCTTGATAAGTCAGCGCCAACAGCAGTTGCTTGTGCAACACTTTGGCTTTTCCTGTTATTCCAACACCGGAGTAGGTCAATCGCTTAATGATTTTGCGACGAAGCAAAATGATTCCGAGATATACTGGAATGATTGGAAGATTCATATGGAGAACGGTAAAGAGGGCTGAGAAGCGCAGAATGTTCGTGTTACCACTGACAACAGTCTCTGTTAGATTGTAGCTCGGAAACGTTTGTTGTAGAGTCTCGCGAACTTCATTTGATTCGTTGTACGATGATATGTACAATACCTTAGAGAAATCCACAATTGGTTCATAGTTGACGGTATTCGAAGTAAAGTCATTGTCTAACTTACGGCTTGGAACAACGAAGGTTGATACACCAATAATAAAATAAACGCCATTGTACTCTTTTTCGGAGCTGGATAATATAGAACATAGAACCTGTATGAGAATGATATTAGAAGGGACCAAAGGGAGTGAGCAAGGAAATGAAGCATTAAACCGAATCTAAAAGTCGAAAAAATTAAATTTTATAAAGACTTTATTACCCGACGTGACAAGCATAAGGTCCAAAATATATGCAATATCCACTTGAAACAAAATAAAGACCCCCACCGGCGGGAATCAGTCGTTGCTCGATGAACACGTCGAGGAAGCATACACAGAAATCGGTGAAGGCGAAGTTGACAATTAATGTCGCATAGGACTTGATGGCTGATGGCGATTTAAACTTCGCTAAGTAGATCAAAAGAACGTTGAAAATACATCCAGACACTCCTAATATGGTATGAAGAGTTTTGAAGATGAACAGAATGTCAATCATTTCTAAAAAGAGATTAGCTGAGTTGACAAAAAATGAAATATTTGAAAATGGATAATTTGCGAATATTGAATAGATTGATGCACACATTTTTTGGTCTATTATCATGAAAATAATCAAATTACACCCAAAAAAGTGTGTTCGGTAATTTTTCGAGCATATTCTTGTTTCGAAATCCACGGAACATTATATGAAACATAAAATTCGTTATATAAAAATAATTTTATTTTGACAAAATATCAACAACAAAAAAAACGCGGAATCTAATTTCTAGACCTAATAGATAGTCTAGAGACGAACGGATCTTTAAACTTTACTAATTCGTCTTACTCAATCGAATCTAATAAAAATAAAAACAGTGTTCGCCGGTCGACCGAAACGCCAAAAAAAAATAAACGAAAATTTATCTTAAATTGTGAAAAACGCAGATTGAAATATATGAGCGTATCAAATTCAAAGAACAACGAAGCTTTACGTGGCTTCAACCCCCCCCCCTTTTTGAATGTCTAGAACGTTTTTTCTAAAATTTAGCGAACCGAATAAAAGCGTATATCAATTTTTGATTTCCAAAGAAAAAAAGGAAGTAAAATTTTATTTGAAATTTAAATTTATAACTAACCATTCTGAATATATGAGTAAATGTTAATCAAAAAATGTTCTCACGGTTATCATGTAGTTCTTTGGATGTCTGTTAGTCCGTATAAGAATTTAATGATATGAAGTTTGTTCCCGGAAAATAATGGAATCAGATGACAAATGAATGATCGAGATTCTAATTACGTTAATTATTTCTCCAACATAAATTAAAGTTCTTACTATTAGTACTTAGTCGATCCGCTCTTCAGCGTAGAACACGGATCATAATTTTCCGATTTTCTCGATCTCTGGCTGTGGACCAGGGCTGTGCGGCAATCGGAAATTTCGGCAATTCGGCAATTCGGCAATTTGCCGAAAATCAAAATTTCGGCTATTAAATGTTTTCAACGATAATTCGAAATATAAATACCGAATTTTCACGGTATCCCAAATTATTCAATGGACATTGATTTTTGTTTCGCCGATTTTTTTTGATATCAAATTGCCGAAAATCAAAATTTCGGCAATCCGGCAATTCGGCAATTTGCCGATCGAACGTTCTCTTCGGCAATTCGGCAATTCGGCAATTTGAAAAATCGGCAATTTCGGCAATTTCGGCAATCGGCAATTCCATTGCCGCACAGCCCTGCTGTGGACGTCCAGTGTTCGACTAATTGATGTTTTTCGTCGTATGCATATGCTGGCGTTCATCCTCATGTCGTTTGCCCATCTCATTGGCAGGTGCCCTACTGGTTATATTCCAATCACGTCGCTACCATTCCATTCCAAACTCCCGGGTACCGAGGATCATCTAACAAATGGTTGGGTTGGCAAAAAATCAGGAAATAATCGATATTTTGAAATTTGCAACTTTAATCTGAAGCGCCTACTGCAAAACCACTGGTGACTTCTGCTGCTTCTCATTGAGTCGGCATGCCAGCGTTAGGGCTGAGCAAAACGTAGTCCACGCTATTGGACGAGTCGGCTGGCGACTTGGGGTGTTAGATCCGAATTTCATTTATCATTTCTCTCATATTATAAACTCCTAATTTAAAAAAAAATGTAAGACGATAGTTAACTATAAATAAACGATACAACGGAAATGCGACATTAATCGCTAATGCTCATGAATTTCTTTTTCAGAACATGCATCCAACTTCTGTCGACTCGTCGAAAGCCCTTCAAACCGCTTTGGAAGCTGCCAATCTTCAGAGATATGTCGTCGTGTGCACCGAGGTAGCCGTCGATATCCCACAAGTGTTCGCAACCCACTCATTTCAGACAGCCTTCGTTTACACTGTTCGCGCAGATACTGCCTATTGTGGAAGTCACAAAAATGCGCATTATTGTCATGTGTTCGCCGTCTAATTTTTGCCAATTTCAATTTTTCAAACATTTTCTGTATAAAGTATTCTGCAATAAACTTACCATTTGAAACAACGATGGTTGATAAATGACCAATAATATAAGTAGAAGCTGAAACCTTTTAGGCGATGGATAGAAAAGAACATAGTATCGGTATGAAAATGATAAAAGAAGGGACCATAAAAAATGCGACAAAAAATGAAGCATCAAACTGTATCTGAAAATGATTGAATTTTGTTTGAATAGTGAATAGGAAGTGATACGAACCCGACGAAACAATTCCATGGTTCGAAATTAACACAATATCCAGAAGAAGTAAATGCACAAGTGAGACCGATAGGAATAATCCGTGGTTGTGTGAAATAATCGAGAAAACATGTAAAGAAATCGGTAACCGCAAAATTAATAATTAACGTCGCGTAAGTTTTTATAACTCTCGGTGAGTGGAAAACTGCCAAATATGCGAGAAGCAGATTCAAAGAGCATCCAGTGAACGATACAACGGTATTTCCATGTATGAATAAATTGTCGATAAATTCCATTGACAGAAAAATGATGAAGATGAAGGCGATCTCTGACTTGAAATATTATTTTAATCAGATGCAATTCACTCTCGTTCAAATAGAATGAAGTCTTATTCATGTTATGCAGACAACTCTAGCAGGCGTTTACAAATAATAAAAATCAAAAGTTCTATTCTATAGAAATAACAAATGAATATCGGACATTTTCAATATTTCGTGATTGTGCTCAAAACGAGAAGTTGGGGATGTAAAGTAACATCAGAGCCATTTTGCCACAGTTTTGATGAACACAAACGAAATCAACAAATCTAGGATGTCGGCAAACTACCGGAGATAAAAAATTCGGCTATTAAAATGTTTCAACGATAATTCAAAATATATATATATAATAAATTGAAGAAAAAAATTCGGCAATTTCGAAAATCGGAAATTTCGACAATTGGCAAATCCATTGCCGTACAGCCTTTTTTTTAAAAATCGTTTTATCCATCTTGCTTTTCTAAAATGATTTTTATTAAATTCAACCCGCAAAACGTGGGTTTAAAATAAGCAAAGAAAATTCTCATGAAGTAATATGTTTTGGAACAATTGATTGCGTTGAATGCACATTTCGCGCCGACCTTCTCCATCTCAACTTGTTCTTGATTATTAGCATAAATAAATGGAGTTGCTGGCGAAATAAACGGCGATATTCAGAACTTCGAACATAGCAAACATAACCGTTTTGCGAATAAGCGACGACCGCAAGAATCACCTACATAATATTCAGATGTATTTCGTTACTCCAGCTAGTCAAATGCGCAGATCTTACGTTATAATTCTGGCATAATTCTACCGTTTGTTTGTCTATTTTTAAAAATATTAAAATATTGAAAAGACTAATTGAAATACAGCGAGTAATCAAGAATACGAGAATCAAGACTTGCAACGTTTTCAACGCTTTTTGTTCGATAAACCCAAGTTCATTGCTGTGCTTGAACACTACAAAAAATACCATCACTATTCTGATAATGAACAGAATACCTTTATATTTGAGCACTGCGAATGCCCCTGCATAAAAGAAGAGAGTAGCAAATGAGAATAAGAGCATCATAAAATACCATTCGGAAGTGACTTTTGGTGTCAGAGATGACGGAGGATTGCACATCTGAATCGGCATTATTCATTTTTGGAAAATGTTTATTATATTTCGATGAGTTTTTAAGTAGCACACCTTGATTGGCTCATTATTGATATTAAACCATCCAGAAATAGCTGTGTAAAATGCATAAACGATTGGAATAAAAAATAAGGCGGAAAAATATAATTGAGTATTCAATTTGCGGTATTCGATGGGGAATAATATTGCGATGAACAAGTCAAGAGCCAAAATACACACGGTTCCGGTTTGCACGCAATGGCACATAATCAATGGGAATAAGTAGATGAAGCACAAGTTGCGATAAATCTCGAAATAGTAGAATATCACTGGAATTAGTATTATACATATATGTATAGTTATTATAATGTCTCAAAGGCGGCCGTACCAGCGATACCAAATCCCATGCACACAGTCTCATAAAGCAGACAGATCTCATTGATTATTGCTAGAATCATTAAAAGAAGTCCATATTTGGATCGAAGTGTTTTTTTACGAATCGTCAGAACAATCAGATTCACATTACCAAAAGCGCCAATAAATTGAAAAACGAAAACTATTGAATATATTAGAATTCGGTGAAATTTATAAGTATCCTGCGAAATGCTCATTATGGACCAACGAATAAATATACTCAATGTGTTGGCCGAGATTTAATTTATGCAATCGAAATAATAACAAAAAATATACATGTTGAGAAAACAACTAGCTAAATAATATGCAGTTATGTGAAATTATATTATCATTTTGCCAACCACACCAGGTATTTTTAAGGCCCCCGCATTGTACAGTAACTCACAATTAAATGAATTCGTAATTTGTGACGAATGCCAAGTAACAATTGTATTTTTAACAACAAGAATCAGGCAAAAAACACGTGAACAATTATTGCCAATTGGTCTTCTGAATATGCAAAACATGACGATGTGCTTAGCAAAATTGAGACTATACTCTCAGATTTTAGCCGCTTAAAAGAATTTTAATCGATAGTCCGTATCTTCAGTCTTCAAAAAATTTATTTTTTTTTGCTAAAAAATTCGACTCATATTAATTAATAAATTAGATGAGTTTCGGCCGGCTTCCATAGACTTGGCTCTTTCTGCTATCAAAAATATGTTTCAATATATGCATTAATAAATAAAAAATAAGAAATAAGAAAACAATCAGTCGAATATGAACGCATCAAAAAAGAAAATATTTAAAAAAAAATATTTTATTTTCTCAGCATTGACCCTCAGCTAAAACCACCTGATCGGTTTTACACAAATTGCTGCACAATAAAATCCCTGCTACGTTATCTCATTACGATCATCGCTTTGCAGCTTTTCTTTCACATTTTTAGATGTTCGCTGAATTGTTTTTGAAGGACAGAGAAAGTGTTTTAATAAAGCGTATTGTAAGAAGATGAAAAACAAAGTTTTTGAGAGCTTCAGCGAGTAGTATAAAAGGAAGTGGAAAAGAGAAGATGGCAACCCAACATGAACTCGTCGATCTTGTGCCTTCTCGTGCTCGTCTCCGTCTGCTCGGCCTGCCCAGGATTGTTCGGAATGGGAGGTGGTGGTGGAGGGTGTGGATGTGCACCACCACCACCACCACCATCTTGTGGCTGTGGCGGAAGGAAGAAGAGATCGTTGCCCGAGAAGCCAGCCAAGCCCGAATTCTTCGGAATCGCGAGCAATGATCAAGATGCTCTTTGCAACAGTCCTCAACTCAAAAAGATGATCACTGAGGTTGAGAGTTGAGAGCAATTCGGTAGCGTCGTCTCTCGATTATCAGAACATGCATCCAACATCTGTCGACTCGTCGAAAGCCCTTCAAACCGCTTTGGAAGCTGCCAATCTTCAGAGATATGTCGTCGTGTGCACCGAGGTAGCCGTCGATATCCCACAAGTGTTCGCAACCCACTCATTTCAGACAGCCTTCGTTTACACTGTTCGCGCAGATACTGCCTATTGTGGAAGCCACAAAAATGCGCATTATTGTCATGTGTTCGCCGTCTAATTTTCGCCAATTTCAATTTTTCAAACATTTTCTGTATAAAGTATTCTGCAATTTGCAAAATTAATTGATTTCTGGCAACAGTGTAATTAAGAGAAGAAAAGAGCAAATTTCATTTCAAAGAGTGAGGAGTTAATACGTACATACAGTACCGCTCAAAAGTCTATCAACCTTTGGTTTTTTCTTTATTTCTCAAAGAGTACTGCACCGATCAACATGAATCTTTCAGAGATAATGTGAAATGGGGTTTAAAACATAATTCATGTCATTCGGTACACAAACACATATCCGCAAAGTCCATGACGCGATTTTACACACTTTCAGGTTTTTTGCGTTTTTCAACTTTTTTTAAATTTTAATTTTTTAAAATTTTCTAGAGTAGTTATCCGTTCATATGTTCTTGTTCATGTTTTCAGAAATGCCTAGAGCTTTTGGGAACAAAGACATGACGGATAACGAGAAAAAAGCCATCGTGGCTGGTCGTCAAAGTGGACTTACTTTGAAAACGCTGGCCGGAATGTTCAATCGAACGAAAGGATGTATCTCCAAACTCTGTAAACGCTGGGAAGTTCAAAAAAATTTTTCTGTGCCTCATCGCTCCGGGAGACCACGAATTACTGATCGTAGTGAAGATAGAAATATTTTGCGGACGTCCAGAAACAATCCTAGACTCCCTGCCCCTGCAATCAGACGGGAAGTTTTCGTGAATTCTCCATCTCCACCATCCGTTTCGACTGTGAAACGTCGTCTCTGTGCTGCTGGGATTATGGGAAGACGTCCAGTGAAAAAACCCTTAATTTCTGAGAAGAATAGAATGGCCAGAGTGAAGTGGGCAAAGGAACACGTCGACTGGACAAGACAAGACTGGGATAAGATTTTGTGGTCCGACGAAAGCAAGTTTCTGCTTTTCGGAAGTGATGGAATTCAGTGGATTCGTAGACCAATTGGGTCCAGGTATGATCCTAAGTATCAATTACCCACTGTGAAGCATGGCGGTGGTTCGTGTATGGTATGGGGTGCGTTCTCTGGAAATGGTATTGGACCGTTTCATCGCGTGAATGGGATCATGGACAAGAATGTCTACAAAGACATTCTCCAGAATCAGATGCTTCCGCACTTGAAGAGAATGGGTCGTGGAAGTGTTTTCCAACAAGACAATGACCCAAAATACACTTCTTTGTTTGTTAAGGTGAGAAAATTGATAAGTAAACAGCATCACAATGAATTTCGGGATTGGTTTGCAAGCCGTCGGGTCAACGTCATCGAGTGGCCGAGTCAGTCTCCTGGCTTAAACCCAATTGAACATCTATGGGAAGAGTTGGAAAGACGTTGTGCCAATAAAAGAGCCAAAAATTGCAATGAGAAGTTTGCTCAACTGCAGTCTGAATGGAATAAGATCCCCATGTCGACCATCGACACTTTGATCGACTCCATGTCGAGAAGATGTCAAGCAGTCATTGAAGCTAAGGGCTTTGCAACTCGATATTGAGCTTTAAATTATGTTTGTTACTGTTTTTTGTTAATAAACTTTGTTTTTTGGTAAACCAAAACTGTTTATTGAAAACCCCAAAAAATCGGTATTTTTCGAAAATTCTATTTTTTTTCAAAAAAATTTTTTTTAATTAAGCAGGTGTCAAATCAGCTGACCAAAACACGTTAAACCACTCCAAAAAATAATGGGAAAAATTTTGGATCGATACCGCATCTTTAAAAAAAGTTATCCTCAAAAAACCAAAGGTTGATAGACTTTTGAGCGGTACTGTACAGGGTGTCATTTAAGTTCCCGCACAACTTTGAAGACGTATATTTCTGAAACTAAAAGTCCAAATCAAACGAGACTCAAAATATTATTTATCTATAGTACAACAAATAATTATCTATTAACTCTTTTCGATTCGGCCTCCTTTCGCAGCTATGACTTCACGGAGACGCTTCGGGTAGGATGTGACTGTGGTACGCAGGTATTCGATGGAAAGATTGTCCCACTCCGCCAGTAATGTCCTCTTCAGAGCCTCTACACTTGAGTGGGGTTTTGCGTTGACCTTCTCCTGCAAGACCCTATCACGGAAAAGTCAAGCGGTTTCAGATCTGTGGAGCAATCAGGCCATTCGGATGACTTGATGAAGTCGGGAAAATGGGTCTGGCACCACTCCTGAGTAGTTTTGGCAGTGTGGGCGGGTGCTCCGTCCCGCTGAAAGACCCATATCTGCCCACCGAAATGCGTTTGGGTCCAGGGCATCACATGCTTCTCCAAAATGTCCCGAACGTAGACTTCTTTGTTCATTTTCACTCCCTGATCCACGAAATCCTGGGGGCACATCCCGGTTGAGCAGATGGCACCGAAAACCATCACACTGGCAGGATGTGAGGCTCGATTAATTGTTTTTCCTTTCTCAGAAGCTTGCTGGGATGTCTGGGCAAGTACTCAATGGTTTTGTGAGTAGAATGCCGTCTCCACAGTGAATAGCTTCTCGTCGGAGAAGACAGTGACGAGATCTTGTCCAGACCGCGTGCGAGCAAGAAGTCGTTTTGCTTTTTCGAAGCGTCTCTGCTTGTTGACGGCCGATAGAATTGCCGCTTTTTGGACACGATATGGGGTCAGTACAAGCTTCGTTTTGACGATTTGTTCCAAAGCGAAGATGCTCATTCCCATGTCTGACGCTATCTTTCTCATGCTCCTGTGGGGGTTTCGGGTGATCCTCGATTTGACGGCGTTGATCTTCTGAGGAGTGGTTACTGAGACGAGTCTTCCTTGTCTGGGACGGTCACTGGTCGTATTTAGCTCCTTGAATCGTTTGATGGTGTCATAAACCGTTCTACAAGGCACACCGACCCGTTGAATGATGTCTCTCGGGCTCACATTTTGCTTATGAAGTTCGATAATGGAAGCGCGATGGATGTTAGCCTTCGCCGTTTCTCGGAAGCACATCCGAATGAGGTGAAACTTGGAAAGTAAGTAAAATATACCTTGTTCAATAAAAATAAATTGTATTGGTGTACGAAAAGTGCGTTAGCGAAGCTCTACATGGCGTCAAACTTTTGTGCGGGAACTTAAATGACACCCTGTATTTGCACATTCATGTGAGCAATTCGACACATTACCGCGTAAACAATGAGTGAGACAAAAAAGGAAAATAAGAAATAATCTAGCGTCTCAAATCGTGAGTGGTTGTCGATTTAATTGCAGCTACAGTAATCGCACCCTTCGATAGCGATTCGTGCCAATTGAAATTCTTGGTTATATTTGGGAATAATGAGTGCATTTGTTGTCGAAATAAATTTCGATATTCCGAGCTTCTCATATAGCAAATATATCCATTTTGGGAATATGCGGCAACTGCGAGAATCACCTATAAAAATGTGAATAAATCAAGAAAATGCCAAAATACTTACAATATAATTCTGCCACAATACTATTAAATCCTTGTCGATTCCGATAAACGTTAAAACATTGAAAATGAATATTGAAACGAATCGAGTTATTAAAAAAATGAATATTAGAACTTTTAACGCTTTCATCGCTTTTCTTTCAATAAATCGTATACTCTTGTTATGTTTGGTTACTGTAACTATAATTATATATGACATAGTTAGTTTAATTAATCTACCTTTATACTTCAATAATCCAAATGCCATAACGTAAAAGAAAACGGTAGCAATGGAAAACAAGAGCATTATGAAATACCATTGGGAGGTGACCTGTGGAGCCAAAGAGGAAGGCGGATTGCACATCTAATTAATCAATTAATTAATTAGATTTTTAAACGCAAATTACCGGAATTGAGTCATCATTGATGTTCGTGTAACCAGCGATTACTGAATAAATAGCATAGCAAACTGGTAGAACGAACAATGATGGAAAATAGACATGAATTTGGAATGATCGATACTTGAAGGGGTAGAGGATTGTGAGGAATAAGTCGACCGAGAGCATCCAAATTGCTCCGGTTTGCATGCAGTGGAAGAATACATAAGGGAATAAGGCGTAGAAGCAGGTATTCCGACGGATTTCATAGTGATAGAAGGTTACTGCAATGCGCTTATTGAAATGGGTTCTGAACACGTTTAAAGGCACATGGTCGCGCCAACGATATTTAAGGAAATCTCAATTTTCATTGGGAGTTTTTAAGCATTTTTATTTCTGATGTTTATGGGCGTAAAACAATATTGAAATAAACTATTTCTGTGTGAAAAATAATTGAGAATCGAATGCCTGAAGCTCAACTTACTTGCAATTCCGAAACCCATGCAAACTCCTTCGTAGAGTAGACAAATTTGGTGCAATAACGCCAAAATCATTAAAAGAAGTCCATATTTGGATCGAAGCGTTTTCTTGCGAATCGTCAGAACAATCAGATTCACATTACCAAAAGTGCCAATAAATTGAAAAACGAAAACTATTGAATAAATAATGATTCGATGGAATTTATATGTCTCTTCGGAGATGAACATTCTGAAAATAAATATTATTGAATTATAAATAAGTTTTTTTTTTTTGAGAAAAATAGCGAAAAGCAAAATCTGACACTTATAGATAATGCAGAAAAAAATCAACTCAAAACTGAAGAAATTTGAGACATTGTCTAGAATTCTCAATTAAATGTGAGTAACTCATCGCATAATTTTTGGCATTATATGTATAGTTTGAATTTTTTTTGGCATTCGGAAAACTGCTATTGAGTTAATTATGTAATAATTTAAACAAGACATGGATTCAAATAATTATTGATTAGTGGTAATTAAATAAATGCGGTGAGGTGAATGATGTTCGATGTTTATGAAAATAAATGTCAAAAATTCACCTGGAATATGAAAAATAGATGAAACTGTTCAAATAAGTGCTTATATAAATCAACAATGCCGGAAATCAAAACACAATTACGTGCGGTGTCAGTTGGATCTCGCCCCCTTCCTTTTTCGGACAATGCCCCCTAATAAGCAAATCAATGAGAAACTACGATTGTTTGATAATAAAATGTGATTTCTTCAATATTCCGAGAAGAAAGAAGCTACAGTATCCCATACATATGTATATTACGCGAAAAGAGCAAACATTTATAGCAGACCCTTCTACGGTTGCAAAAATGTTTAAGCAGATGGTTAGGAGAAGCTAGCTGCTAATTTATTTTTGTTCAAAATCATGTATTTATATTGCAATGAAAACTATAATGAGAAATAACAACAATTTATTAATACAGAGCACCTAAAACGAATTGACAAAATTGTATTATGTTTTCTGCAATTCCATTGGCTTATAATGGCTAAGGGATATCATTTGAGAAGAATTCGAAATAGAAATTGATTCAAATGAGGGAAGATCAGCAAGATTACCATATAACGCCCACCCTGCAAAATGTCACGTTGCTTTTTTTTCGTAATAAACTATTGTCGAAAATTGCATAAAGCTATTAGGGGGGTATTTGCAATTTTTGGATTAAATTCAATACCACGCGGTGAAAAAAAGAAATGAAATGTAGACAAGTCATGTCGACTTCCTTATTCGGCAAAATTCATTTGGAAAACTACACGCAATAATAATGTACAAAAGCATATAACTTTCGGATTCCAGAAATAGAAAAACGCAAACATTAGGCTTTATTTATTTGAAATCCGCCCATCTATAAATATTTGAGTAATTTTGGAGGCTAAAAAAACAAAGCTATACGGGGGTTATTTGGTCTCGGGTGGGCTCACAAATTGAATATATATTGATTATCCCGGATTACTCTTTTGATACATTACGTATAATAAAATGGGCATAAATCAAACATGAGTAATTGATTGTATCAAGTGTAGCTGATTGTTGTACTTTCGCATCTCAATAGGTCTAAATTCGATTTGTGCAAAATGTGTCTGCATATTTGATATTACGTATGCAAATCGGAAGGAGAATCGGAAAGGATCGAATTGAGAAATACATATGTATATGTTTTCATCATGCGCCTTTAAACTTCTTCTGAAACTGTGGGATATTCATTCGACTATCTCACCGTAGACAGCGTCCGAATAACGATAGTTTCTTTTAACAACATCCAAGGTATTTTAATTTTTGCAAAAATATTCGAATCAGAATGAAAATTCAAAAACAGATTACTGAATCAACTATAAAAAAGGAACTAATAATTATTACCCGATAAGACCTGATTGTTCGCAAGATCCGTAAATTTCTTAGGCAGTGCTTCTAGTGAAGTACCGGGTGATTCCTAGAGTTTGTGGCCCAAACTTCCCTTTCAAATACTCAAAATTAAGATGTGGTTGGAATTAAAAAATTCGACTAACGAGGAACAACGTCGACCAAATGGCGTTAAACTTTTGTTACCGTAATTTTGGCGTACGCACTCTAGAATGATGTTTCGTGATAAGAATATAGTCGGGATCCAGTTTAGATTTACAGGCGTGCGTTTTTCGTTTTATAAAGTGCTGCTATTCTCGAATGCTCTCGAGAACGAACAATAAAAGATTATGAGAAAAACAACTCATCGAAATGAAGGAAAAAATTGAAAAGACACAGTTAAATATTTTGTTTTTGTGCCGAAGAAATTTTTTTCCAAGAATATTTTGTTTTTGAGTCGAAATATAGCTACTTTTGAATTATGGATTCACCCTGTGTCGACGATCTATGTGTGTATGTATGTGTGTGTGTGTGGGACGCATTTTATTGTAGAAAATAATCTACGGAATTCTCCAAAATACTGTACCAATTTAGTCAAAATTATGTACCAGTCTTTCCCGCAAGAATTAACAATTTTTATTAATAATTAACAAAGTCCCTTTTACTGTTGTTGTTAGCCAGATCAAAAATCAACTATATACTATGTACAGTTGCATTTTATAATATGAGGCATAATAAATATTACTTCGAATATGTTTGACAAATGTGTTGGGCAATCCAATTATTCCGATATTATCGCAATAAAAACAAACAACAAACCGCTCACTACTCTGGTAAATGATTCCTAGTCGTATACGAAAAAAGCGAATTTCTTCATCGTATAAGATAAAATTAAAATCGTATACGTTAATGGTAATCGTATTAGTTAATGTGAATCGTATAGGATCGTATACGATTCTGATGAATGGTTTGTAATCGTATACGAAACATCCGCATTTCCTCGTCGTATACGTTATTGCAAGGATCGTATACGATTTGGATTTTATCACAGTAGTGTAACCACCACAATTATACACTGCGGACATGCATTAAAATTGACGTCTAAATTCGAAAAACAATTTTCGAAAATTTTCGAATTTTTTCATATTCGATTTTTATGCGTATATTGCGTTTTAATATATATACTTTCCAAAAAAATCGTGCATTTTACTGGCTCCGCTCTAAGAAATCTATATTTTCTTTGCAGATATGTCGCAAAATTCAAAACTATTTGCATATCGAAAGCGATATCGTTACACCACACGAGATATCATGGAAAAAAATATATAGGGAATATCGGAACGAGACAGAAACAGGTGATAACAACAGAAAAAATGAAGAAAATAACTATTTTCAGAAAATAGAGAAACTTAACATCAGGTATAACTAAAAGTAAAAACAGAGCAAGATTTAATTTCTATAGATTCTATAGAATCGTCTGAAGATGAGCTCACTTGCGCGGAAGAAGATTTTGTGTCAATGTCGAGCTGTGACAACTTGCAAAGAGTCATTACGTCGAGAGGTTGTTACCGTTTTTGCATATTTTTGAAATTATTTCGCTTTAGGCCAATGGGAAGCATTATCTTCGCGAGATTTTATTTTCACAGTTTGAAACGACTATTATCGTCAGAAATCACAAAGGGAATTGGGCAAAGAATGTTGCGGAAGTATGCTTTATTATAAAATTGTACACCGTAGAAAAATTTTAGTGCTGCAATTTTGCAAGATTTGACGACCGAAGTTCGTGCAAGACTTGATTCGGACCCAACGAGAAAACAACATGATGTGTCTATCGTGAAACTGAGAAAACTGCTATTTCGATATTCGGAGAATGATGATATCGAAAAAACGACAGATGTACCACTGAAGTACTCAATGCTGGCTCAAAAAGGCGATTTGTTTACTGAGAAATACAGCTATCAAGGCTCACACTACTCAATACAAAGAAATATTGCTTCGGATAATAGCGTCGTGATGTTTCGTAGAAACTATAGAAACCCTATACTTCCAGATAGAAACTTTATCCCAAAAATTCGCGGCAAAGCCAAACAAAAACAATGTGAGTATTTTTTTAAATTTTGCTATTCTCTAAATTTAGATCGACGTGATCGCCGTATACAACCCTGAAGCTCTTAAAGACGCAGAAATAATTATTCCATCACTGGATGGAAATAGTGGGTTTTTTGTGTTTCGAAAGCTTTGAATTTGTATTAAATCTTTTAACAGGAGACATCAACGTCGCCCAAATATTTTTGGAAATTCCGTTCATGAAGGCAGCTCTGAAGCATGTGATAAATACTACAGTCAACAGATTTGTCGATAAGGTATCTTACAATTATTTAAAGTTGCAAAAAATATCTTCAGACAATTCCCAATAACGATCGTGTGAATTATTCAACATCGTTTAAGCCAACTCCGCCGCACGCAACGCTTCCAGTTCGGTTTGTCAACACAGCGATTGGTATGCTCAAATAGCGCGAAAAATGTCTAAAATATGTTTAAATTAATTTCAGCTGTTTTACAAAAGACGGTTACCATCGCTGGAATGGCTGACGAAACGGCGAATTCTACAATCTCCTATTTGGTACACGGTCATATGACCTATCTCCTGTGAGTTTTCACTTTTTTAGTGGGCCTATGCAGATTTTGAAAAGAAACGCAGTAAAAACCTTTTAAAGAAACTCGACAACATTATAAAGATTCGGCTAAACTAGTCTTAATCAGATTTTTCGCGTTTTTCTCCAAAATCTGCACATGCCGAAGACTGCCTCATGATTAATCATTCAAATGAACTTAATTCAGAAACAATTCACGATCGAAAGCGCGAGCAGTGGAAAAAAATGGTTGATGCGCCAACCAAAATTAATTAATTTATTCCTTTTTCTTTTTCATTTTTTTGTCTTTCATATTTTTTTTTTTAAATAAACAGGTATAGAAATCTTTACATCATATATTTAAAAGCGTTAAAATGCCAAACGAGTAGTGTAAAGTGAAATGGTATACGAAAAAAATCTCAATCGAATACGAAAAAATCTCAATCGAATACGAAAAAATCCCAATCGAGTACGAAAAAATCCCAATCGAATACGAAGAAATCGTTACCGTATATGAAGAATTGTAGTCGTATACGAAGAAATCACAATCATATACGAAGAATTATAATCGTATACGAAGAAATGCCAATCGTATATTAAGAAATCCCAATCGTATTTGGCCGCGTTTGAAGAGCGATATCAGCGTATACGATTGAGCTTTCTTCGTATACGACTCGGAATCATTTACCAGAGTGGAAAACACACAT